GGAGGTGGTCAGCGGGAGGGGGGTCAGCAAGATTGGGATTAGCCTGGCCGAGCCGGGGTCAGCCAAGGCGGGTTGATATCAGTTAGGTCTGAGTCAGCTTAAATTGGCCAGGGTCAGCGAGGTTGGGGGCAGTGAGACTGGGGTCAATTGAGCCAGGCAGGACCAGCGGAGTCCTCGATGGCAGGATCATCCCGGCATGATCAGGTGCACCTGCAGGACATCCCCTTCATCCCCCGCCCTGTGCCCTGGCAATCTCTAGTGCCATCTCACCTTTCTCTTCTCCTTCTTTATTATCTAGTCTTGCTGTCCCGACTTCCTAGATTCTCAGTGTGGAAACTCTCTCTTTTCTTTTGCCCCCTCTTTGACTGTAAACTTATGTAAGTTAGCTTGGCTGACCAACCGTTGCACAGCAGCAGGCCTTTGCAAAAACACCTCTGTCCAGGCCTTAAAGAGCCAATCCAGTTGCTTTTTCCGCTGCTCACCAAATATCCAGCCCCACAAGTCAGGGAGCCCGGCAGTCCTTCCCAGGAGCTGACTGCACACATTCCTGGAAGATGCCTTGGTCCATAGCGCTGGTGCTTGTCAGTTCTCAGCCGTCTTCTGGTGTTGAGGGAATATGTTTTGAATGTCTCTTCCTGGAGAAGAACAAAATAAGTTAACAGAAGCCCACTGTCTTCAGCTGCTGAGAGTGCGGATTTTCAACAGACTCCGCTGATTTGCCCTGGGTGGGAGAGGTGAGCATTCCAGCTCCCCTTGCTCCTGGGACTGTGGCATCCATCTCCCAGTCTGCTCTTCCTGTTGGTCCGTGCATGCTACTTGCCATAGTGTGTGCATCCAAGGTGAGCAGCTCTGACAGTGTGGGACTTGTCAGCATTTGCTCATCAGCCACAGGTGGTGCTCGGAAAGCTGCAGGCTTGTTCTGCACCTACTGACTATTGTCTGCATCTTTCCTGTTTCAAGATGATGTGCGAGGTGATGCCGACCATTAGTGAAGCGGAAGGCCCCCCAGGAGGAGGTGGAAGCCGTGGGTCAGGCTCCCCTTCACAGCCAGATGCTGATTCACATTTTGAGCAGCTCATGGTCTCCATGCTGGAAGAACGAGACCGCCTTCTGGACACTCTGAGAGAGACACAAGAAACACTGGCGTTAACCCAGGGGAAATTGCATGAGGTTGGTCATGAAAGAGATTCCTTGCAGAGGCAGCTCAACACTGCGCTTCCACAGGTATGCCAACCAAACTGAAACCAAGGTGTCTGCCACTAAATGTCTGTGGGATGATCTTGTTAATGTGTTAGCTTGCTGACTGTTTTGTGTAACCACTAGGAAAGTGATGTTTCTGGTGGGTTTTTGTTTTGTTTTGTTTTGTTTTTGTTTTTCGAGACAGAGTTTCTCTGTGTAGCTTTGGAGCCTATCCTGGCACTCGCTCTGGAGACCAGGCTGGCCTTGAACTCACAGAGATCCACCTGCCTTTGGCTCCCAAGTGCTGGAATTAAAGGCATGCGCCACCAACGCCCGGTTTCTGGTGTTTTCTAAGCACAGGTAAAATTCCCATGGAATTCAGTTTGGGAATAAATGGGTATTCTCCAAAGCCATGTGACCACACTGCTGCACTGTTGTGCCTTTTTGGGTAACTGCCTAGATTTGGGAATGTGTTTCAGAGTTGGGTTTTTGTTGTTGCTGTTTTGTTTGGTTTGGTTTCTCTGTGTAGCCTAGGCTTACCTAGAACTCACACTGTAGACCAGGATGGCCTTGAACTCAGAGATCAGCCTGTCTCTGCCTCCTCAGTGCTGGGATTAAAGGTATGCACCACCAGAGTACCTGGCTATGCTTTGACTGGGGCTGTGAAGCAATGAGCTATGTAGTGTCTCCCATTCTGTGTCTTAGACTTGTCCATGCCTGCTGTGGACCTGTGAGGAGTGGATCTCTGGGATTTTATGTCTTAATCCTGGTTTGTGTCTTGTGGATTTCCAATTTCCTGAGGAAATCTTGTGGATAACTAGGACTGATTCCATTGGTAAAGTCTTCAGAGGCTTTCTTGAACATTACAAGAGCTGTAATGAAACTTTGTTTCAGGGGAGAAATGATTGAACATTGAATCCCAAGGCTCCTCCTCTTCCTGGGTAGATGAGACTTTCAGAGCTTGAAACACCTTGTGTATCTTTAGTATTACATCTGAATTGGTGTGCTAGAGCCTTCTCTTCCAGAGTCAGTGGTAGGGGAAGGAGAAAGTGGGATAGCCTGCAAAACCCAAGGTGAAAGGCACATGGAACAGGGGTTGCTTAGCTTTGTGCTGACGAGCCCACTTTGTTCATTCGTGATCGGTATCTTCATGGTGCTCAAGGAAGCTGCACTTATGCTCTCACGGTGGGGTTGCAGAGATCAGTTCGCAAGTGAATAATCACTGCCTTGATGCATCTCTTGGCTGTAGTCATTTCTGTAAGATTGGACTAAACGTTTGAATGTCCTTTTTAGAAACAATTTGGTATTAGTGTTGTGTGCTGGGAGTTTTTGTTTGGGGGCTAGAGAATCATTTCTTCCTGGAGTCTTAGGAATTAGCAGGTTAATTAGGTCAGATTTTGTTGTCACGTGTTGAAGAGGTTTTTAAGATGCTGTGAGTTCCAATTGCTCTGCTTTGCAATTGTGTTTGTTGCAGCAGTGTTTGGCCAACGCTTAGGTTTTTGGAAAGAACAGGCACTGGGGTCACAGAACTGACCGTGTTGTGGGCAGTGTGGGTTTCAGGCAGCAAGCATGGAACTTGCTAGGGAGCCTGTTGCCAGGTGAAGCTGGCTGCTGCTCTGCAGTGCCTCATTGAATTAGGACATGCTGGTATCCACAGTTATGTCAGAGCTGACCTGAGTCTAGTGTTATAGAGTAAACTTATTTCAGACCATTCCCTTCCTGGAATCAGGGTCCTCTGATGGCTAAAAATGTGACCAGACGGGCCTATGTGTCCAGTCAGTGTCCTTACAATGGAGAATGCATGAGGATCCACAGGTCACAAGTATGTGCCTTTGCTAGCTGTTCAGTTATGCTCATGGAGCTCTGCTTGGATCAAGAGATGGACAGGACCATACCTCCTATGAAAACCCCCTCCTACTGCCTGCAATCAGTGACTGTTCCCTATTCTTAGGTGGCCCAGTTCTTCACTATTGGTTCCTTTGCATATGCTTGACTTTCTTTAGGAATTGTGTATGTTTTGTTTTGACTCTTCCCTGGACTCTGTGAGACCCACCTTTGCTTTCACCGAAGTGTGCTGTGTAGATGGGCCCTACTTGTTCTTGATGCAGTTAGGACCCCTGAGGCTGCCACTGTCTTAAACTTCCCAGGCTGCCTTTGCATTTGGGGAGGTGCAGAACTAGATGTGTGTGTTTCTGCTGGAGTATTCTAAAGAGTGGAATTGTAGTGACAGCAGCCTCAGGAATTACTGCCAAAAGTGGCTGTGGTGACAGTTGGTACAACCACACGGCCACCAGCAGTATGAGAGGCCATTGTTATGTACTCCAAAGTTCGAAGTGGAGAGGTGGACTGCAGCCACCTGCAGTGCAGGGACCCTTTTTTTGTTTGTTAATTGGATTGTCTGTTTCTAATTTGAAGTTCTTTATACATTCTGAGTGCATAACTGTATAGAAGAGTTTTTGTTTTTGTTTGTTTGTTTGTTTTGGGACAGGGGCTTTCTACATAGCCGTGGCTGTCTTGGAATTCACTATGTAAGTCAGGCTGGCCCCAAACTCATAGAAATTGGCCTGCTTCTGCCTCCTAAGTACTAGGATTAAGGACATGCACAACCATGCCTGGCTAGATTTTTTTTAATTAATTTTTTTGTGTATGAGTACAGGTTGGTGTGTATTCTTGTATGTACATATGTTTTTATGCAGGTGCTCATACACTTATGCACAGATGTGCTGAAGCCATGTTGGGTGTCTTCCTTGACTGCTCTCAACCTTACTAGTTTTTTAGTATTTATTTTATCTTGTGTGTATGTGTATGTGTGCCTGAGTGTTTGTATGTGTACCATACATAGAGATAAGAATTGGATTCTCTGGAGCTGGAGTTCCAGACAGTTGTGAACTACCATGTGGGTGTTGGAAACTGAAACTGGTCCTCTACAAGAGCAACATGTACTCTTACCCATATGTTTAATCATCTTTCCAGCCCTTCTCTACCTTACAGACATGGCTGCCACACCTGGCTTTTATGTGGGTACTTGTGTACTTTAACCACCGAGCCATCTTCCCAGCTTGGAAGGTTGTTTTTATACTCTTGTGTTTGTCTCTTCACTCCAGTAGTATTGCATCTATATGTAGATACAAATGTTCACATACATCCATATATACAGGTCTTGCCATGTAGCCCAGGCTAGCCTATACCTTTGATAATCCTGCCTTAGCCTCTCAAGTGCTGGAATTTCAGGTGCCTACCATATCCAGCTCAGTTGTATCTTTTTATGAGGAAAAGTTTTAAATTTTAATGTAGTTCAATTGATTGACTCCCCTCCCCCCAAGAATATTTTTGGTTGTGAGTCTATCCTTTAATAGGTGAGCCATCTCTCCAGCCCAAGAATATTTAATTTAGGGGCTAGAGAGATGGTTCAGTGGTTAAGAGCACTAGCTGCTATTCCAGAGGACCTGGGTTCTATTCCCAGAACCCACATAGATACTCATAGTTTTCTGTAACTCCAGTTTCGGGAGATCTGATGCCCTCCTCTGATCTCCACGGACACCAGACACACAGGTGGCACATAGACATACATGCAGGCAAAATATCCATACACATAAAAATAAGTAATTTAAAAAAAAAAAGAGTATTTCATGTGGGCCAGGCTGATGGTATACACCTTTAATTCCAGCACCCAGAAAACAGAGGCAGATGGATCTCAATGAGTTTGAGGCCAGTCTAGTCTGTGTAGTGAGTTCTAGGCTAGGCAGGGCTACATAGTGAACTGTTTCTTAAAACAAAACAAAACAAAAAAAACCCAAAATAATAAATACTGTGTTCTGATTAGGAAATGCTAGTCTTGGGCTGGGGTATGTCTTAGTGATAGAGAGGATGGTGGTTCTTCTGCTCTCTTTGCCATTTTTACACAAATACCACAGTGTCTGGGTGATTACAGATGTTGTCTTGAGATCTGATATTTTAAGTTCTTTACCTTTTTCTTTAAGATTTTCTTAATCTGGCTCATAAAATCTGCTTGGGCCAGAGAGAAGCTCAGTGGGTTAAAGCGCTTGCCCCATAAGCCTGATAGCCTGGTGGTTTTGGACCCATGGTGAAAGGAGAGAAGTAATTCCTGAAAGCTATTTATTATCTGACCTCTGGGCTGGTGTTTTTTCAGCATTGTCTGTCTAATCTACAGGCATATAACAGGTTTTTTTTTTTTTTTTAGTAATTATTTATTGCTAGTATATTGAGATAGAACTGGCTTAATAAAAAGTTGTCTTGAACATTTTTTTTTTATTCTTATATACATGGTTTTGCCTGCATGGATGTCTGTGCGGTGCCCCTGGAGGCCAGAAAAGACGTTAGAGTCTCTGGGATTAGAGTTGTACACAGGTGTGAGCCACTTTGTGGGTGTTAGGGTTTGAGCCTGGGTCCTCTGGAAGAGTAGACAAGTGCTCTTTAGCTGCTGAGCCATCTCTCTAGCCCCTAAATAGAACTGGCATTTGCTTTTTCTTCTTCTTTTTTTTAAACTTGTAATTTTCCTGTCCCAGACTCCTAAGGGCTGGGATTTAGGAGTTTTGTTTGTTTTCTGCCTTGTTTTTCTTGTGGAGTTGCACCTGCTGAGCTCTCCAGCACAGGATTTAACTGCCATGGTGGTAGTGGACCGCCTTGTCTTGTTCCTGGAAGCGCTCTGCACTCATGCACTATTCAATCCACAAGTGCAGTAGTCACTGAAGGGCTTTGATAAACATTCTCTATTAAATGTGGTAATTCTTTATTAGTTTCCTAAGAGGATTTTTTGTTGTTTGCTTGCTTGCTTGCTTATTTGTTGAGACAGGTTCTTGCTGTAATTGCCCATATGGGCTCAAACTCGTAATCTTAATGATGGTGGCTTGTGCCTTTAACCTCAGTCCTAGGGAGGAAAAGTCAGGAAGACTACCAAGTGTGAGGCCATTCTGAACTACATAGTGGGTTCCAGGTTAGTCTGGACCTGATCTCAAAAAAAACAAGACAAAATTGTGTGTGTGTGTGGGGGGGGGGGGGTGTTTACTGGATTTCTTACTTTGTTC